ACTTTGGGTATCTCGACAGTTTATTTACAAAGTCATCACATTACTCTAACAAGTCATCTCAGCCATGCTTGTTTCTATACTTCCCAAATATGACTTTAACTTCCATGGTCTCGGCTCGTCCCGTTCCCATTTACTGGCCACAACGTTACCCGTAACACGGCGACACAAGCTCGAGTGTCCAACGAGATCAATTTTTACCCTCATTCTCGAGTACTCTATGCGAGTCCCAGAACAAGTACAGGGACAACCTTCGCTTCTAGAGCCAAATCCTGTCCCCTATCAGCTCAGCGAACTCCCTCCCAAAGGTTTTGGGTCACAACTCCATATCCATGCTCTGTTTAACTCGTGCCAGAGAACCCAGCGTCACCCCAGCCCAAATCGTGGTCGCGTTAAGTACATCTTCCAGCTTTGGATGTCATCAACAAGTCTAAAAGGTCTCTTGATCATCGAGACCCTCGCCCTCAGCAGGAATTTCGAATCCTTCCTCTGTTGAGTAAAGAATAGTTTGGATCTGCTTTACGAGGCCATCCTCTTGCTTCTCCAGCTCCGGGTCCTCGTCAACAGCCTGTTGGACAAGCAGCTCAATATCCCGCAACTTGCTGAAGTAGAAGTCCCGTTCCCTCTCCAGACCTGTGACGGTCTCCTTCAATGTGGCGTTTTCTTGCTGAAGAGCTGCGGTAGCGGGTCCAGCGGCCTTTGCAACTCGGGGTCCACCACTTGGAGTACCGCTACCCACGCGGCGAGCGGCGCCAGTGCTAGCAGCAGGTCGGGGTGCGGCGGCAGCGGGAGGCATTGAGCCACCTTTTCGGCGGGCAACGGCATCGTACTCGTGGTCGGGGAAGTTAAGATCCCAAAATCGCTTTGTCCACTGGAGGAACTCGAGGTTGTCCTGCATCTTGCACTTGATAAGTGCGGAGACAGGAATAGGCTTGTCAATTTGGTGCTTGGTAAAGGTGTCTGAAGACACGTCAGCATATTGTTCGTTGGCATGAAGGAAAAGAAATGACTGACTCTGCAACACCTTGAAATTTTGAATATACAAGTATTCAGAGTTCACATTGAACTTGACCTTGGACATGGGGACGTCCATGTAGATACTGTCAAAAACCTGGCAAAGGGCAGCACTAGACAGGCGGTGTTAGAAAGTGCCATGATGCAGATGATGGTGCGTGCTCGTGTGGTGGTTATATAGGTCAAAAATGACAAGTGAGGCTCCCAGAAAGTGCTCGTGATAGCAATCGCGGGGTTGTTTGGTGTTGTTTATAATCCCTTGCTTCGATCATAGCACGGTGCAACATGAGGTAGCGATCCATGACGAGGGGGCGGGGCAAACAAAAGATGGATGGACTCACCCAGTACCGCATTGCTCAACCTTGGTGATGTTAAGCTGAAGCAGGCTGTTGAGCCATGCAACAAGCTCTTGTCTGTAGCATTATGTATTAGTATGCAAGCAATGTTTGGAGGTAGCTAGCTGTCTTGTAAACAGCTCCAGATGGCATCACCAACCTCGACTCGCCCATTTTGAACTGATTGTTTGTTATAGGGTGTGATTTATTATTCGGAATCGTGAGAGCGCAAACAAGCGACGTAGGAGGAAGGCGGAAGGCGTTCGTTTCTAGAGGATATCGAATGGAGAAAGGAAAACAAACTGAACGAAGGCGCAAAAGGGAAGCTAAGGAGATTGCGTTCGTCGGGTTAAGTTGGGGAGAAATTAAAAGCAACCGTCTTCGCGCTGATTCCACGAAGTTGTTCATGGGTAGCCTGTCGCCCAATCAACCAACCGGCCGTTGGTGGGGGGTACCCAGAGGGACCAGCGCATCCGCTGTGTTATTGCTGATCGTGTTTGGCACAGAAGGTACCGCCACGTACCGCAACGCTAGAACCCCTCCTACCCCCCGCCACGTCCCCTAGAGCTTGCTCCAGCCAGTGAAGTCACGTGCGGAGCCGCCTGTCAATCTTTGGGAAAGTAACAAGCTCTCACCGCCAAAATTTCGAGAAGCGGCAGAAAAAAAAAGTTCGAGATTTACTGCGAAAGGTGCCCCACTGCTTCTGTCGCGTCTGCAAATCTTGATAGAAGAGCTGTACGAGTGCCCTTTGACCCGATAAGATGGCGCCCTCACAGAAGCGAAAACCCGCGCAAGACGACTTCATCTTTACAATTGACGACAATGACGATATTCCTGTTGAGGAGGAGGAAGTGACCACGGAACCTCCCAAAAAGAAGGCCAAGACCAGCAAAAAGCCCAAGAAGTCAAAGCGTGCAGCCAGTCCTGAAGATGACGAGGAGGAAAATGGTGTAGAGGGCATCTGGGGATTCAATGATGATGACGATGGTGCCATGGATTCCGAATTCGAGTTTGGCGCTGAGGAAGCTGCCGACCTTGGTACAGTAGAATTCGAGGGATGGGGCTTCGATGGTGCGAAGAAGAGTATGGCTGTTGACAAGAAGGGTGTTGATCTGGATGAGATTATTCGAAGGCGTCGCGAAAAGAAGCTTGGAAAATCTGACCCCGAAGAAACTGCCGATGCCGAACAGAACGAGGCTATGGATGTTGATCTGAACGACGATGATGACGAGGTTCTTGCAGACGACGCATTCGGTATGAACGTTGCTTATGATGTTGAAGAATCTGGTGACGAAAAGGACGAGGATGATGAGAATGAATCTGGAGCTGAAGACAAGGATGAGGATGAGGACGAGGAAGATGATGATGCTGCATCAGACAACGACTCTGTCGCTACTCCCACAGGGCACCCAGATGACGATGCTTCCGACGATAGCGACGATGAGGAGGACGCCGAGGAGGAAGCAAAGCGAAAGGCTTTCTTCGCCCCGGAGGAAGAGGAGGCACCCGGCAAGAAGAGTGCCTCATCTTTCCAGGCCATGTCTCTGTCACGTCCAATTCTCCGTGGTCTTGCTACAGTAGGATTCTCCAAGCCTACACCCATTCAGGCCAAATCAATTCCTATTGCGCTTATGGGCAAAGATCTTGTCGGTGGTGCTGTCACTGGTTCCGGAAAGACTGGTGCCTTTATCGTTCCTATTCTGGAGCGTTTGCTATATCGACCCAAGAAGATTCCCACCACCCGAGTCGTTGTTCTTACTCCTACTCGTGAATTGGCCATCCAATGTCACGCTGTCGCCACAAAACTTGCTGCCTTTACTGATATCAAGTTTACCCTTGCTGTCGGTGGTCTGAGTCTCAAGGCCCAGGAGGTTGAGCTGAAGTTGCGCCCAGATGTTATTATTGCTACCCCTGGTCGTTTCATTGATCACATGCGAAACTCTGCCAGCTTCAACGTTGACACTGTTGAGATTATGGTCCTTGATGAAGCTGATCGTATGCTTGAGGACGGTTTCGCCGACGAACTTAACGAAATTCTCACAACACTCCCCAAGTCACGACAAACTATGCTCTTCTCCGCTACCATGACATCCACTGTAGACCGTCTCATCAAGGTCGGTCTTAATAAACCTGCCAGGGTTATGGTGGATTCTCAGAAGAAGACTGTTACTACACTGGTGCAAGAATTCGTTCGCCTGCGCCCTGGCCGAGAGGAGAAGCGAATGGGTTACCTGGCACATGTCTGCAAGAACCTCTACAAGGAGCGAGTTATTATCTTTTTCCGACAAAAGAAGGAAGCCCATCGAGCTCGAATTATCTTTGGTTTACTTGGTCTCTCATGTGCTGAGCTTCACGGTAGCATGAACCAAACACAGGTTAGTCTTATTCTGTCTCGCTGCTATGACCATCACTAACACTGTTTAGCGTATCTCAAGTGTTGAGGACTTCCGTGATGGCAAGGTGGCGTATCTATTAGCCACCGATCTTGCTTCTCGTGGTCTTGATATCAAGGGCGTCGATACCGTCATCAACTACGAAGCGCCCCAGTCACTAGAAATCTACGTCCACAGAGTTGGTCGAACAGCTCGTGCTGGTCGCAAGGGTACTGCCTTGACATTAGCTTCTGAGAACGACCGTAAGGTCGTCAAGGCTGCAGTGAAGGCCGGCAAGGCCCAGGGCGCCAAGATCGTCAGCCGGCAGATTGAGGCTGCCGAGGTCGATGCTCTTCAATCTCAGATCGACGAGATGGATGATGAAATCGAGGAGATCATGCAAGAAGAGAAGGAAGAGAAGCAGCTTGCCCATGTCGAGATGCAAGTCAAGAAGGGTGAGAACCTCATCCAGCATGAGGCTGAGATCAAGGGACGACCTAGGCGAACGTGGTTCGAGTCTGAACACGACAAGAAGCAGTCCAAGCAAGCCGGCAAGGATGAGCTCAACGGCATGAGAGAGGCGATGAAGAAGAAGACGGGCAAGCTAAGCAACAAGGATAAGAAGCGCCTTGACAACAAGCAACTACGTGCCGAGGGTGGCGGAGAGTGGAGGAAGGGCAAGTCGTCAGAGGCTGATATGAAGGCCCGACATAAAGAACAGGCCAAATCAAGGGCCAAGGGCCGGGCGACTAAGGAGGGAGGCAAGGATGCCGCCCCTAGCAAACCCAAGGGAAAGGGAAGAGCCGGTGGTAAGAGGAGATGAGCTAAAAGTTTAGAGGAGTTTATTGGCAGCGATGTATAGGTAGTTTTAGGTTAATTATATCCATGGCCACACACAATCCGCCTCCGTCTTGCTCGTCCGAGGGGTATCTAACCTGATTCGGCGCTTTGTGAGGAATGTTGCAATAAGCTTTGAAGGGACTGGACGTGCCTGTAGATCTATGCAACCCTGATCGGCAATCTGACGTTTACGTGACGCTAAAGGATTGACGAATCCGTCCAACAATCGCACTTTTCAGGACCGCACATTACAAATTATCACAAGTCATTGGTCAAGAAGGTTCGGAAACAAAATTACTATATTAATTATCAAGGAGTGTGTAATCGTTCGCTATACCGCTAGCACCGTTGCTTTTGTCGTAAGAAGCACGCTAACTAGATATCGCTTCATCATTTGTAAAAGAAAGTCCTCATTACTTGATTCATAAACCCAGGCCCAAACTTAGAGATTAAGGGCAGGGATGCCGAGGGACGCCACGAGTTCGCCCTGGACTCTGATGAGATTGACAATGGCATTGTCGAGGCCAGTGATAGTAGCACTACCGCCTACGCTCGCAGCTCGTACAGCAGCCGCGAAGAGGAGAACGGGGCTGATGAAGGGGTTGAGGGCAGCCTTGACAGCATTGATCTCAGCCTGGAAAGTAGCTCGCAGGGCAGGGGTCAGGTCTGTGACGGTGACGGTTACAGTGGCGCCTATGTTCTCAACGATGTCGATAACGACGAGAATAGAGGCAGTGAGTGTCGCGATCTGTTGGTTGGTGAGACCAATGGCTTGGCCAGCAACACCACCAGCTGCCCCTGTTGTGACGCTGACAATCGTGGTTGTGGAACCAGCCAGGCCTTGGGCGATGGCTTGGTAATTGGCCTTAACAAGGGCTTGAGCTTGTACAACGACTTGCGCATCGACGTTGTTCTTGATCAAGAGGACATTATCGTCTATAAACTTGTAAGTAAAGAGGAGTTTGAGGTGCTAGGAGAAGCGGCTTACCGATCTCGTTGAGAGTTACCAAAGAGGAGCTTGATACAGTGTCAACCGAGGACTTGATGGTTCCTGTGACAGTTTGTTGCCGGCGGAAAGGAGAGGCCGTGGCGAAGGAAGCAAGAGTGAGGAGGCTGAGGAACTTCATGTTGATTGTGGTAGTTGAAGTGATCAAGGCAAGTGTTGAGTATGTGATGAGTTGATGAGTTGTGAGTGAAGTGAAGATGATGATGGTGATATTTCCAGGCGCCAGACCAAGCAAATTATATAGACTTTACTTAGGCACCATGTCCAGAAGCCATCGTATAACTTGCCACCTCGATCTCAACAACCATCATCCACAGCTTATCGAGTCCAACCTAACAGGTTTTGGGCAACCCTCCCGAGCAACATTCCAAAGCCTAGACACGCATCACAGCTCTAGACTGGACCCCATTCCAGCGCCTCAGAGTTGACTTTGACAGTTGCCTCCGAGGACTAGACCTAGTGCAGTCTCGGACCACGCCGTTACCGCCGGGCCGTTACGAGTGGGCGCTCATCCAGGGGAGGGGGGTGTGCATGCGGTACTACCCTTTTGAAAGAAACACACATGTTGGTGAGATTCAACTTGACGTCTGGAACGGTCGATCGTGTCTTGGTTCTTTTGAGTTTGTTGGGAGGCGGCCATTGACAAGGGAGGGATTTCCCCATGCTTGAGACAACGGTGATAGTCGGGCGTTTTTTTGATCGAGCGGCGGACAAAGTGACTTAGGCTTGAGTGTCTGAGTTTAGGAAAGGCTATTGCAAAAGTGCTCCGGCACTATCTTAGTTTCTGGGGTTAGTTTAAGAGTTGCCGTGTTGTCTCCCGGAACTAATGTCTATATGTAGAGGAATTGGCTTAGACCGAACTCCTCGTTTCTCAAATCAACACTTCGATTCTAAACATAAGTCGAGCAGCCTCGATCTAAAATCTCAGCTCTCCGCTTGGTGTCTCAGAGCAAAGATGTTAGGTCATGCTCTCTCAGCCACTTAGCTAATAAGCCCAACGATCCTCAATGGTCTCGAAACTTGGGGGCATCTATGTAATCTTGGCGCTGCACAAGATCGCAAATCGGATATCTAGGTTATTATTTCTGCTGCAGCTTGAGATATGTGATGAACAACTTGATGCCGCCTGTAAAGGCAGGGTTAAAAGAACCAGTCGGCTTCCGAGTCGTTGTGAGGGTTGCCTGTGTGTCTTAGACAACTGTCACTTTGTCGTTATTTGACAACGGAAAATATTCCGGAACTATCCATTGTCTCACATATAAGCCATTTTCGCGGTGTATTCACTGCTTGTGGAATATGTTGCATCACAGATCTAGACCAGAATAACTGCAGCTTCACAGCGCAGTGTGTTCTAGGCCATGGATGGAAAGTCTGACTTACGGCATCTTGATCATTTCTGAGACAATTCTCTCACTCCAGCAGATTTGTGGAAAGTCAGATCTTATCTGTAAGATTTCGGAGACTTGTTTAAGGGTGTTCAGCTTCGTCTTGCGATCGATAGATAGATGGGATCGAGATGAGATATGGAGTCTAGACTTCATACATACATGCTGGCTGCATATGCCACATCTGAAGATCCGTAAAGAATATACGGATAGTCGATATCTCTTTTTGAGCCTACATAACCTGTGAAATGTAGGCCCACGCAGAGCAGACATTGTCCCTATTCGGTAATGCCCTGAGGCTTTATGTCTGATGCTCGTAACTCATCCAATCTACGTAGCTTGAGGTTCAGCAACGTGTTTATGTATATGATAACCGTTCATAATATGTCTTACTACTATTGCGTAGAGCTGGGCTGAATTTCTTGTCTCAGCATATCGACTTGGCCCAGACCAAGAGCTGTACTGCGTTATGACATGTGCACTGGTCACCCCAAGTCACACTGATCTCTCAGCTGTACTGACTTCAAAAACACTTCTCATTCATTGGCCACATTATGTGACGGGTGTTTCTCATCCGAATCGAGTTGAAATTTAAAGAGAGAGCTACAGGTAACCTTGAAGTCGTGGCTTCAATGTATCTAGTTCATCGACGCGGCGCTATGCAGGGATCGATAAAGAGTGTCTGGAGGGCGGTTCAAAGGCTCTGTTTGATCTGCCAAGAGAGCTTGTTGCATTTACGATATATCTCTTTGCGTCAAGCTGAGCATGTGTGCATATCAAAGGGGTTCGCTTTTTTCAGCCGTCTCGGAGTGTACACACCATACGCTCGCTCAACTCACTTAACAGTGCCGATGTCAGTTTGTCTTGGTACCGAGCAATTAGAGTCTCTCGAGACGTTATGCTTCAACTTCTTATGCACCGATTGGCATTCCAATAGCTTAAATAAGCTCCTTATCTCGTAGATCCAAGTCTTAACCTAAACCCTATTACAGTGAGATCGACATTTCGATCACATTCTCAGCGGTCAGCCAAGCCTCTCCTGTCTTGGTAGGCTTGCTTGCAATCTTTCTTTTCAGCTGATGGGTGTTTGAGACAGGTTCTGGATCGGCTACTAACGACGGTAAAGAAGCATTGGTCATCTCCGGTCGCTTAGATCGGCGGCTGATGATGATCTTGATGCACAGGGTCAAAAGTTCAACCCTACTATTGCACATAGAGGTTTTTCAGTTCCTTGTATCAGTCCACTACTTCTAAAGTTGATAGTCTATGATAACAGTTGTGTTCAGGAAGTGGAGGGCATCGTCACTTGTTTCAGTCCCCAAGCACGATTGGTAAAGAGCCTCGATAGCCAATTGAGACACTAATGGGTTTTTGCTGTAACGTGACCTGGGCCATCATCATTCAACATCTTACCGAAGTTTGAGAAGTCTTTGGCATCACCAAGAACGATTGAATCGAAGACACATGACGATGTAATACGGTTCAGGAGTCACAGGTAGGGAGGAACAAACCAAGAAAAGACACATGATGTAGTACCCTCCTGTCGCGATGATCTCGAACCTTTGATCAAGTCAATTATCTTCAATTTTTGACTAACTCCTCAATATGACAAAGCTTTTCAGCACCCACGCCCCCTCATTCATATGAACAACATCAACTAACTGTACAAACATGCCAAGCGGTTCGCGGCAAGTCGAGAGGCAAGCCCCCTTTTCAATTTTCTTTTTTTCTTTTTCTTCTCCTGTTCATTCGCTTTACATGCCATTGGCCTTCTCCTCCAGAACAGACACCACACTAGGGGCCTCTTGGGGAGCAGGAGCATCTGTGGGCTTCTGAACAGGGCTGGCAGGTCTGCTGGTGACGAACTATATATCATGTTAGTGTTGATTGACTGATAGAGGTTGGTGAAACTTACGTTGCTAGCTGCGCTCAGGAGAGCGATCAGAGAACTCTGTACCACATCCTCGTGGATGCCAACACCCCATACTGACTGCTTGCTACCAACGGGCTTGCACTCGATATATGAGGCAGCTTTGACACCGCGTCCCTCGCCAATGGCGTGCTCCTTGTAGTCATTGACATCAAACTCGATGTTAAGCTCCTTGAGGGCAGAAACCATGCTGGAAATAGGTCCGTTACCACGGCCACGGAGCTTCAGCTCCTTGCCGTTCACCAGCAGGACACCCTCAAAGATACGGATAAAATCCTTGGTGTCTTGGGTTCTGCCGTGGGCTGCGGGGGCAGGAGATCGCGATCGGTCAGGTGTGATGCTGTAGTCCACCAGGCTGAAATGAGGGTTGTTGTTGAGGAAGTATGTGTTCTCAAACAGAGAGGTGATCTCATTGGCCAGCAGCTCGCGTCCGACCTCCTCGCTCTTCTTCTGGACGACCTTGGAGAAGGCGACTTGGAGACCGCGGGGGAGGTCAAGCTGGAGCTTGGTGTGCACAATGAAAGCGCTTCCTCCCTTTCCAGACTGAGAGTTGACACGGATGATGGCCTCGTAGTTGCGGCCGATATCTCGGGGGTCCAGGGGCAGGTAGGGCATGCCGTTCCAGGGGTCCTCGTGGCCCAGACCCTTGGCCTTGCGGTCCTGGAAACCCTTCTTGATGGCATCTTGGTGGCTGCCAGAGAAAGCAGCGCATACTAGGCTGCCACCGTAAGGAGCACGTTGGTGGACGGGAATCTTGGTGCAAGACTCAACCATGTCGATGACTGAGTTCAGGTCGGAGAAGTCAATGTTAGGGCTGACACCTTGTGTGTACAGGTTGAGGGCCAGAGTGACGAGATCAACGTTTCCAGTTCGCTCGCCGTTACCGAACAGACAGCCCTCTACTCGATCAGCGCCGGCCATTTGAGCAAGCTCGGCAGCAGCAATACTGCATCCACGGTCGTTGTGGGGATGCAGGGAGATACAAACATCCTGTCTGTCGCCAATGTTGTTGCAGAAGTATTCGATCAGATCGGCGTAGATGTTGGGTGTCGCCAGTTCTACTGTGGCGGGGAGGTTCAAGATGATCTGGTCGCCCTTGGTCGCATCAGGTCCCCAAGCAGCCTTGACAGCCTGGCAGACTCTCACGGCATAGTCAGGGTCTGTGTCGGAGAAGCACTCGGGGGAGAACTCGAATTGCCAATTGGTGCCAGAGGCCTCAGGGTTATCCTTTGTCAGAGATCTGACCAGCTTGGTGCACTCTACAGCAAGCTCCAGGGTCTGCTCCTCAGTGTAGCCAAAGACTACTTGACGGAAGCATGCGCTTGTAGCAAGGTAGATGTGAATGATGGCGTTCTTAGCACCGCGGACAGACTCGACGGTTCTGCGAATGAGGTCGGGTCGGCAGGGGGACAGGACTTGTAGGAAGACATCGTCGGGGACAGCTCCTGGGGTCTGGATCAGGCGCTGGGTAAAATCGAAGTCGGTTTGGGAGGCAGAGGGGAAAGAGACCTCAATCTCCTTGTAGCCTAGATCGCAGAGCATCTTGAAGTATCGCCACTTCTCCTCGCCGTTCTATCATGACAGGTCAGTCTCGTGTCGCAATTGGGCGTGTTACTGAGGAGAACGTACCATGGGATCGGGCAGACTCTGGTTGCCATCGCGCAGACAGCTTCTTTAAGGGAATTAGTATTATTCAAGTGTCTCATGAGTGTCCATTGATGACGTACGAAAGCCAGCGAGGGGCCTTCTCGATGGTCTTGTCGGGCCATGTTCGATTTGGCAGTTTAGGAGCCTAATAACGTTAAT